CCCCCACAAGCAGGCAGGCTTGCTTTGCACTTTCAGGGTTTGACCAGGGCAGTAAAAAGCACCTGCCACCGCAGCGGAAGATGGTCCTTCCTGGACCAGGGCCCGGCCGGGCGTCAGAGGGCCCCCTTCTCTGGGCGGCCATCAGCACCCCTCTCCTGAAAGGGGCTGAGCCTTGCCTGCGCCAGAAGACCGTCGTCCCCTGAGAGACGCCCAGCGCCTCCTGCGGAGCAGCTGGGCAGCCCAGGGCAGAGGCCTGAGCCGTCCTGGGGAGTTTCTCCAGTCAGGCCGCGCTTTGCGCTGCGCCTTCCGCACCAAGGAAATTCCGGGCCAGGAAGGGAAGCGCGCCCGTTGCACAAGTCGGCGGTCTGCTGTTTTGCGTCAGTCTGACCTCTCTGGTCGGAGAAGGAAAAGAGACTGAAGACCCGTTTCCCCCGCCTGGTCACCTTCGACACTGGCAAACTTCTTCATCTCCCTCTCTGGCTCCTGGGGTGTTACCCACAGAGGCCAAACTTGGTTTAAAAGGAGATGCTGAAGTTCCCAGGAACCTGGTTTTCAGTGCCTGCAAGATGCACAGGGGGGACCTGTTTGGGCACAGTCGGTGCAACAGGCATGGAGTGGGGGTACAGGTGGCTCTTGGAAGAGCCACCGGCACCTTCTGACTCTTTGACTGTATGATTTGTTGGCCGCTAGAACAGGCTGGCCCATGAAGAGGCGAGCTCTGCTTCACCGGGTGGGCCTCTGTTACACGCTCGGTGAATCCTGCCCAAGGCGGGGGAAGAAGACCTGCCGGTTCTTCGGTTCCCGGTAGAGGACGGCAGTCACCCCACAGAGCAGCCTTGGTCCCACGGCAGGAAATTCTTGGGAGGGCATGCGTTGGGCAAAATGCGTCTGGCTTAGATTTCCCTCTGTCATCCCCCCTTTCTGACGCCAGTGGTGCCGAAAAGGGCCACAGCAGTTGACAAGATTCGGCCCCCTCTGGAGACCCTTCCCTGGACACCCCTAATGAGAGAGCCTTCCATAGAGAAGAGGGGCCGTTGTTTCTGAGTCCCCAGGAGTTTTGAGCTGGGCTCTCCAGTTGGCTGGAGCCCCATGCAGAATTCAGCTCCTTTCGGGAAGCCAATCTGGGCAGGATCCGTAAAGGCTGGCACCTCAGGATGGCCTCTCTGAGGAGCGATGCCCAGGCCTTAGTTCAGGGCACCAGCCAGGAGTTAGCGGAGACTGCCCAGCTGGCTTCTGCTCCAAGGAGATTGTGGATGGGCCGGCTGGCTGGCCGGCCAACAGTGTATCCCTCTTGCCCAAGAGGGCCTGCTCAGACCCATCAAGCTTCCTCTTAACTTCTGAGGAGCCGCTGCCCCAGAGTGAAGCCGCACCATGCCAGGCTTGGCCCTTCCTCTCCATCCTCGCTCTCAGGCCGCCCTTCAGAGGGGCTCAAGCATCACCCAGCCCCTCTCCAGGCGTGCGGCCTCTCTCTTGGCCCCGGGCGCAGCTCAGGGACCTCAGGCCTGCTCTCCCACCCTCCGCGTGCGCACGTGCAGTCCGGCCAGAGCAGCTGCCTCCCGAGGAGTTTCAGAGGATAGGTAAAGCCTTTGCTTTTGATTTGAGCAAGTGTTTCAGCCCTTCAGACTGTTTTAGGTCCCTGAGTTCAACCTACCCCCACCCCCACCCCCATCCCGGCTGCTGCTGCTGCTTTTTTTCAGAGGAACTCGATCATATTGCTTTTATGATTGTTGCTGGTGCTGTTTTGAATGTGGCCTTGACAACTGCAGCATCAAAATGGGAGATAATCTCAAAACGCAATAGGAAATGTGCCATATAAAAATAGCTTTCCTTACCTCAGCCTTTTAAGGCAGGCCAGCCCGTGTGTGTGTGCGTGCGTGTGAGTGTGTGCATGTCACAGACACAGTGGCCTGGTCACAGGGAGGCTGGGGTCCAGCCTTGCAGCATGGAGCGTCTCTTGCTTCCTGCAGGAGCCGGGAGGGAGGAGCACGAGGTTGGGGTGATGGTGGGGTCAGGCAACAATGCGCCACATGCCTGGCAGCTCCGGCTTGCACGCAGAGAGGAAGCTGGCAGCGGAGAGGGAAGAGCCCAGCGACATCCTTTGCTGGCCACCCCGGAGCTGCTTTGCCAGTGCTCCTGACCACTGTGACTCACTCAGCAGCGCAGCCTCTGTCGCCCGGGCCCCGAGGGAGGACGGGAGGCTGTGTGCAGGGGTGACGGGCCTCCCCCGTTTGTTCCTGCTGACCGGCAGGCTGCGCTCTTGCTCCTTGGAGGACCTCGCGGTCCAGGGGCCGTGAGATTGGCAAGGCGAGTGGTGGGAGCCCCTGCTGGCTGAGGGTCTTCTGCTCTCGGGTGGAGCTTGGAACCACTCGGCCAAACATGGGCAGTCACATCTGGACACGAGGCAGAGGGAAATGGTGGGACCTGGTGATGGTCACCAGTTTAGACGGCTTAAAAAGGGGTTGGACTAGTTCATGGAAGAACTTTCCCAAAAAGGGCGGAGGGGAGAAATGGGAATTCAGGTGGCAAGCGAGGAAGCACAGCAAAGGGGGACCTCGGCTGGCAGTGATCAGAAAAATCTTGCTGCTGCTGTAAAAGAGGCGACCTCTGCGTGTTGCAAGGACTTTATGCAAACCAGCGGTGGGGCCATATTGAGCATGTGAGTCCCGCTCTGAAAAAGCATCTGTGGACCTGGAAAACATGCAGGTCATAGCCTGAAGGGGTCCTTAGATTTGGAAGAGGGGAGCAAGGAGATGTAGGAGGCCTGGTGTGGAAAAAATGGGGGGGGGTTCCTCGTGAAGGGGGAGAAGAACCTGAGGGTGGGAGATACAAGGCAGAAGGTAGAATTTCACGGCATTGCAGAAAAAGGAATTGGGGCGCCGTGCCGCACCACTTTCAGACAGTTCCTTCCATGCTCCTTGGTGCCCTGCAGAATCAGAAGGCCGCTGGGGGTCCCAGAAAGAAAAGGAGCTGGGGGGGCGGCACTGGCACACAGGCACACACCCCTGCTTTGGAGTCTCTTCTCCAGAACGTTCCCCAGCTCCCCCATGCCAGGAGCGCCTCCTCAGCCAGCTGTCCTCTTGGGGCTGCTGTGGGCAATCCTGTCCCCGGCAGGGTCTTGTTCCTGCAGAGGCAGACGGGTGGGTCCTCCTGGTGCCTCCCTGGCCTCCCCCCCATGCGCACACACCCGCAGCAGGGCAGGGCCTTATTGTAGTGGGTGCATTGGGTGTCTCAGTGCATTTTTAAACCGAGCTTGGTCAGAGGCCCTTTGCAGAAAGGGGTCTCTGAGCGGGGTGGGTGCTCTTTCCCAGCCATAGAGCTCCAGCCTTGAGGGCAGGTGCTGGGGAGGGGGCGGGCTGGGCTCTCCCCCTGTCCTGGCAGGGACCCATCTGCAGCTATGGGGAGAAGTAGATTCCTGGGGTCTCTGGGCTGGCCATGGAGGGAGAAGCGCAGGGGATCCCGGACGCGGGGCTGCTGGGTTTGCCCTCTCCACAGCAGCCTCGAGGTGCTCTAACGGTGGGGGTGCAATGTCTCTCCCTCTTCCCTTCCCTTCCCTTCCCTTCCCTTCCCTTCCCTTCCCTTCCCTTCTCTTCTGCCTTTCCCAACCCTGATTTTGTAGGTTATTGCGGCCGACTGCAAGAGGGTCACGGTGTTGAAGTATTTCCTGGAAGCCCTCTGTGGCCAAGAAGAGCCATTGCTGGCATTCAAGGGTGGAAAGTATGTGTCAGTGGCCCCCGTCCCAGACGCCATGGGAAAGGAAGCGGCGGCCAGCCAGGAGGGAAAACAACTGGAAGATCAGGTAGTGGCAGGAAGGGGGGTGCGCACGGCAGGAGGAGCAGTTGCCCGGGGGGGCTGGCCTGGCCTGGCCTGGCCTGGCCTGCACTCTCCCGCTATTTATAGTGGGGGTCTCTGCATGGCGTCCCCTGAGCGCACCGAGCGCTGGTGCCCTTTCCTGCCAGTCCCACCCAATCGCTTCTCTTGGTAACAGCGATGAGTTCCAGATGCGCTTTGCAAATACAGTTCGGGGGTGGGTGGGGGCATAGTTTTAATAATGTGGAGCTCAGGCCCAGCAGGAAGGGGGTGGGAGGGAGGGAAGGGGGAGCAGGGTGGGGGGGTTAGGGTTCAGGCTCAGGATCGAGTTTGGGGGGAGATGGGAGAGCAGGCTGCACAGCAGCCTCCAGCACACGTACAGGAAGGGGGACTGTGCTGGTTTTCTCCCCCCTCGCCCTGCCCCCCCCGCCTCTCTCACATCCTGATGTGATTAAGGAATTTCTCCTCTTGTTTTTCTGCCCCAGCTTGTTCCTGTAGCCCGGGGTTCTCGGCAGGCTGAGTGTGAGTGTGTGTGCGAGGGAGCGTGTGCTCAGCGCCCCCAGCAGCCACTTTGCAAGGCCCAGTCTGCCTTGGGGAGGACCGTGCAGGGGCTGCGGAATCCGCTTGGCCCAGGGTCCCAGGCTCCTGGAGCCCAGGGGGGATCTTTTGACAGTCTTCTTTGGTCTGGACACACCATGTTGCCCTCAGAACTATTCTGCTGCGCGGGTGGTGTGGGGTGGTTCCAGGGGCCCCTGCCTGTGCGAGCCACGTAGGAGCTGGGGGTGAAGAGGCTTGGTTGGCACACAGACTTGTGGCGCCTCCCCTCCATTTAGGGCAGGGGGTCCACTGAGCGTAAGCCCCGCTTCCAAAATCTCCTGGAGGTTGTGCAATCTCCAGCCAGGAACATGTGCTGACACTCCCAGGATCCATGGTGGGAAGGCATTTGTCAAAAGCGCTGGGCAGACTATTCGTTTTCAGTGTTGTGCTGGTTGCCATGGTGCTTCTCCTCCGTTTTCGCTTCCCTGCCCAATCTGCATGAAGGAGGACGACGTCCAGATGGAGGCCTTGCGGGACGACTCAGAGGCGGAAGGCAGCGGTGGCGAGCTGGACATCAGGGAGCTGCGGGCCAAGAAGCAAGCGCTGGCCAGGAAGGTGGCCGAGCAGCAGCGCCGGCAGGACAAGATCCAGGTCTGTGCGGCCCTGCCAAGGGAGGAGGGGGCTGTTGGGCCGACCCAGCGCTTCTCACCAGGAGGCCCCCAGGAAGAGGGCTGAGACACACACAGCCCCCGGTGCCAGGATGCGGGGCCTCCTGAGGCGGGCCGGCAGCTTCGGCGCCTTGTGCTCCATGCCCCGGGACCCCGGCCTCTGTGAAGCCCCCCGGCTGGCCCCAGGGCGCCAGGGCCTCAGTCGCTCCGGGATCGTGCGAAGGCCCGTCCCCTTTCTCTCCTAAGTGGCTCCTTGGTTGGGCAGGCGTCGCACTGAGCAGCCCCCAGCATCCGCCTGCCCCGTGGCGTGAGGGAAGCCAGGTTCACACCGTGGTCCTCGCAGAGACAGGCCAGCCCGCTTGATCCTCCTGCCGCTGCCCGGGGTGTCGCGACAGACATGTCCTGGGAAGCCTCTCTGGGCCGGACCCGAGGAGCACGTCCCACGTGTGGGCTCCTGGCTCGCCTCTCGGCCCTGCCGGCCCACTGGTTCCCGACAGCCAAGGGAAAATCCCCCTCCCCTTCCCCCTCAGCAGTGCCCAGGGCCCTCTCGCTTCCATAACTCTTCCTTTCCCAGCCTTGAACGCAAGCCAAACACATCTGTCTAGCCATATGCGTGAACTCTGGAGTCTGTGCCGAAGTGGTTGTAAAACAGGGCCGCTGAAGGCCCTACTGGGAGAGCGTGCACATGTGTACCCGCCGGCTGTTGGCTGCGGGCCCAGAACCACCGCCGCTCTTCGCTCTCCAGGCCCACCGTTGCCTGCTGCAGCCACAGCGAGAGCCCTGCTGCCTGCCAGCAGGACAGCGCCTGGGTTCTCTGGCAAGCGGAGGGCCCGGCCTGCAGGGGCGAGAGGGAAAAGGACAAGGGTGGGGGCCTCGGGAGCCCCTTCCCCAGTCTGGTGGCAGCAGAGGGCCCAGCCTGCAGCGCAAGTGAGGTGTGCTGGTCGTGGAGTCATAGAATCCTCGGGAGGGAAGGGGCCTTGGAGGTCTTCTAGTCCAACCCCCGCCCAAGGCAGGAGTCCCCAGACCATCCCGGCAAAACGGTTGTCCCAGCCTTTCTTGGAATCCTCCAGCGGCGGC